TGATGCTCATAAATGATATGTAGATATCTGTTTCCTAGTTTTCATTCACCTGCACAAGAATTAAGAACATACTCCGAAAAGTCACGTTCCTCATTAAACATATATTTACTTCCATTTCTATGTGATTATGATAATATACTTCATGTATGATGTAAATATTGTTGGAGAGGACTACCTAAGGTGTGAACTCTTACTGAAGTTACGACCAACGCTCAACAGCAAAAGATAATCACGATTAATGCTTTTTCTTTAAAGCGTATGTATCTTATTGTTATAAATAATATGTACTGATTGAGCAAGTATAAGATGTGCTGCTGAGCGTGGCAGCTCATGATGAGATCTCAACCAAAAATCATTATAAGGAGTCTCTCGGAGCATATGACAGAACAAGTGCCAAAAGAAACCTTAGAATATCTTTTAGACTGGGTTGAGTCAGTGTGTTATTGGTAGAATGCACCAACTGAAAGAGAAGAAACAGAATTGAAATGAAACCATTCTGTGCCAAACAGCTGTCATCCAAAGTCTGGCTGCCCTGCATCCGTTCTATCACATTTTAGCTTGACCCTGAAACCTGAAGAAGTTCCTGTTCAGTACTGGAGTGCAAGTTCCATATTCATACAAGGGGAGATATATTGCTGGCTCAAGCAAATCTAGCACCAAATCCTGGTCTGAATAAATAGAACAATAATCCTTTATCCTGCAAGGAAAAGGCAATCAAATATTCACAAAAAGTATTTGAGACAAACTGAATTAATACCATCTAGATTCTGAAGAATGCAAAGGATTGCTTGAGTGTTGTGTATTTTTATCTCAGAACGGGTCTGAGTTCAGGGCTCACTTTAGAAGTAGAATCAAGCATACTCTTTTACCAAGATATCAGAATGCAACTCTTGTTCAGAAGATGTACGATCAACAACATTCAATGCCTCTGTGCAGCTTTCCCAAAATTTACAGTAGACATATGGATGCATTTCAAAATATCATGCATCAGTGACAAAGATCATGTCCGAGGCAAATTCCTACTTTGATTTCAGGTGAACTGCTGACTACCCTTTACATAATTATGTTCATGACGGATGCCTGCCCTGGGGCAGTTTAAGCTTTTCTTTCATATGTTTATGACTGGTGGCACCGGTTGGAAAGGACGCGCTAACCTTTCTGCCAACGCCTGGTGTCATCACTATTTGAAAGTGATTCATAAACACATGCTCCGTCATCGTTTCTCATGATGCCAGTCGCCGGATTACTTGGTCCAGAGTTGATTTATTTACAGACCGCAACCATCCAGCTGTAATATTGCTGTCAGTGACGTTTAACAAACAATCATGTGCTCACAATATATACTAAGCAGCAAAAGAAACGTCAGTTTGGAATTTTCCTTCGCATAAACGTAACGCAAGCTGACCTCGGAGATGGTACGGTGTTTTCCAGGTTTTTCATGCAGCTCATGCCGCAACTCACAACAGCTCAGAGGAACCAGGCGCTAGGAAGACCTGAAGCTGGCCACACTGCACAAGTCGTTGCCAATCACTTCCAGTTCAGCGTTCGGACCATCTACAGGCTGCTGCAACGTTTCCGGGCCACCAACACCACAACTGATCGCCCCCGTACTGGCAGACCAAGGGTTACCACAAGACGACAAGACTGCTATGTTGTGCGACAGCATGGTCAGAATCCCTTCATGCAGGAATCGGAAACAGCACGCCTGACAGTGGGAACACACAGAAGACCAATCAGTTCTGATACAGTACGCCAACGTCTTATCAGCAGGAACGTCCATTGCCGTAGACCTTAACGAGGACCTATCCTCACCCCTCGTCATTGGCGTGAACGTCTACAGTTTGCCCTACAACACCAAAACTGGCAATACAGGCAATGGAGAACATTTCCTAGATGAGAGTGGTACTGCTTATCAACTGCAGATGGCAGAACAAGAATATGGCGACGACATGGCCAGCGTTACTCAGACCCGTTACTCATGGGGACGTGCAAGCATCATGGTATGGAGTGGAAGAGGCCTGAACCAGGGAGTGGGTCCTGTGGTGTTCCAGAACCTTGGTCCAGGAAGAGGAGGCGCCATCACAGCAGTGCGCTACATCGACTAAGCTCTCAGACCCCACGTCATACCACATTTTGCACGTCACCGGAACAACATTTTCCCGCATGACAACGCCCAGGCCCACACTACCAGAACTACACGGGACTTCCTACAGCAGAACGGTGTCAACATTATGCAGTGGCCAGCCCTTAGTCCTGATTTAAACCCATTTGAACATCTCTGGGATGAAATTCAGAGGAGACTGAATAATGTCATACCAAGGCCGAACACTGCCGATTTGTTGCGCCAGAACTTTTTCAGAGTGTGGTTCCAGGTGCCAATGGCCTTCATCAATCGATTGGTGCACTCCATGCATAGACGCTGTGCTGCAGTTATTGCCGCTCGTGGTGGTCACACTAGATACTGAAGTCAAGCGTCTGAATGGACGGCAAACGTTCACGTAATGTCTTGAAATTGTGTTGAGTTATTCATTGATGTGTCAAAATATTATACACACAAAAAAAACCTTGATACAGTGGCTATCTAATTTTGATTTCGTACTGACGTTTTTTGGTATTTTTTGCTGCTGAGTAATAGTTGCAACTGTACAATCCATTCTGCTTTCAACAGAAATTTCTCATGGCCATGGAAAGGTTTTTTGTCGCTTTTATTAACTCTATATTTCTCTCCTGGTCAAAATCCTGGTAAATACCTTATTCCTGAAAGCTTGAAACCACTGAATTCATTATTACTGAAACGATTTTGTTGAATTTTCTTTTATTTACTCATCTGTAACATAAAATCGTTTAAAGGTCATACAAACATCAGAAGAATTAAATCAAATATGTATGGGTGACAGTCAAAGCACTGGAATTTGGTGGATAAAGAGTGTGTTTTATGTCAGATTCAAGACTTATGCCTGTGTACTCCAGTTCCTTTAAGGCATAGGGCGGCTCGTCACGCCGAAGGCCCAGGTTCGTTTCCCCACATGGGTACAATGTGTGAAGCCCATTTCTGGTGTTCTCCACCATGATATTGCTGGAATAGTGCTAAAAGCGGTGTAAAACTCACTCACTCACTTAAAAGACCTTGGTGTCGTTGTACAAAGCGATCTTAGGCCTGAGGTCATCGTAACCCCCATACCTTATAGCATAGACCGAAAACTGTCGTAGGGTTACGGTTGTTTTGTACAACGGCACACTGGTCAGTAACACGTCTTTACACGATTGTACATCTGTATGTTGTTAGATCGTATATTCTTGTCAACTTGTGTGCAGGACCAAACTGTTTGCATTATCAACTATATCTATACTGTATGTGATATTGATATTCTTACTGAAGTTTGTCTCTCGATTTAATCTGTGAGTTCACTCATCAAAATATATAGTGATTTTATAAAAAGCTTTATTTCAAGCACACAACAAAGTACAAAGCATACACCAGCACATCAAGGAAATATGCGTGAAACTCATCACACAAACAATGAATACCTTAGCATGTAAAATAGCTATGTGTGCTACTTCTACACGCCGTACCTGAATGTCTGTAGGTGATGGAATTCCGAGGTAAATAGCTAATATTAAATGACAAATGGTGGTTTAAACATATCTGACAGATATACATATCAGAAAGAAGGCTTTTGTGATTTCCACATATTGCTGCAGATGAGTGGGCAAAAATTGAATTCGTTACCACATAGCCAATCTGGGCTTTAAAAACACAATGTCACACCACTCTTCCCTAAAAATACATAATGTATTATTAATAATACTCAGGGAAGCTACCATATAATTTATTGCAAACAAAAAATACGCATTTAAATTACAATATCATATTAAAGAGTTCGAATGAATTAAAGCAATGTTGCATTAAATCGACTCTCGTGCCCTCTTCTGGTCGAACATTATTTCAAGCGAACCCAATAGAGCTACGTCGCTTGGAGCGTTCTTTACGAATATCCTACACAAAACTTGTGATTGATACCAGTTCGGCAAACACTGTGTCCTACAGTCTTTGATGTTGAGATGTTTACATTCCATATTTCGCAAGTGTTATCCGTGTGGAAGCTGTTCGCCTCGCAGTTTCAGTTAACGATTTCAGGCCAAAATACTGTCGAAAATGTGTGACATTGTGCCTTTAAAGCGTTAACTGTTACATGTTTAAATCTATGGTTGCCAAGGAATACGTTTGAAAGCACAGTAGTATATTTCTAATGTGTGAGGACAAAATAAACACACGCAAACAACTGTATTGAGAAAAGTGACATGGGTTCAGTCAAATGTTCTGAGTTGTCTCTCAACTTGGTTGTTCATCTGGATTTAGAAATCGCTGATCCTTATAACAGTCCTCCAAGAAAATATCTCTCTGCACATGCCCAAGTATTTTTTAAAGCACTGAAATACCTTACTGAAATATAGCACATTCATGGAATACAGCTACCTGGTCGGATAACATGAAGTAGGCAGTACATCAAACTAAGAATGCTTACAGACGCACATCGCTGTTATGACGTCATAATACTGATTTGAAGACAAAAGACATCTAAACGACAGATATTCAGAGAATCACCCAATTTCAAGTTCACATTCGTGCCCATTAGTACATTCAGTAATTGAATATTGTCAGCGTGTAACCTAGGTACACATTTAGAAACACAGTAGTATTTCGTTAGTATATGAGTGGATTACTAAATCAAACTAAGAATGCTTACGGACTGAAATCACCATTATGACATCGTAACACTTATTTGAAGACAAACAACATATCATCTACACGACTCATATACAGAGAATCGCCCAGTAGTTTCAATATCACTTTTGTCGCCATAACGTGAAATATATATGCATTGACAGGAAAAAAGCACCTCTGAGTAAATCAAGTTTTGAAAATTAGAGACGGAATTTACAGTATTAGGAACACGCCATATTATCGTCAGATTAAAGTAATTATATAAGTTAGACTATTACACTTGTCTGAATGCAATTGCGCAGAAAAATCCACATGTTGACAAAATGAACAACAATAAGAAAACACAAAAGAACAGAAGGTCCACCTTTTTGACAATATCAAACCACTGTTCTTGTTCGAGCACCTGTTTGACGTCCTCGGCCTTCTTGTCAGGTTTCACAGATGCATCATTCAGGTCATTAGCTTCACCGGGATTACCAGTTGAATCGGTACCGGTTGTAGCTTTCTTTGGATTACCAGAAAGACGCTTAGTCAGCTGTTTTCTTATTGTCGACTTGGGCAGTGCTGAGTGAAGGTGTAGGACAAAGACTGACGCCACAACAGTCAACGCCTTGAGGAAAAACATGCAGTTCAGATAAACGCTGTAGAGAGCCACGTGGTCGGACACAGAGGGTAAGAAGGAGTTGATGGATGTCAGGTACACCGCATAGGCCAACAACACAGACACACAGAGAGTCATCTTCTCTCCTGACTCCGGGGGCACGTGGAACACCATTAGATTGAGACAGGATAGGATGCAAAGAGGCAAAACGGCAGTAAGAATGTAGAAAGTTCGACGTCGACCAAGGATGAATCCCAACTCCAGGACCTGATACAGACCCTTACCTGGGAAATATTCCTTTACAAACGAACCCAAAACCTCCCACTCTCCATTTTCTTTAAGTGAGATAAAGGATATTGGTACATCGTCAAATACGTAGTCTATCTCTGAGGTGAGTGTACTCCATTGTGTCAGCACTAAGGAACAGCGTTGTTTGTCAAACGGGAAGCTTGTGACATCCACAGAGCAAGACGTTGAGCGGCGATCTATGGCGCCCCACTCTACAGTTCCATTGTTGCTAATAGTGAATGATTGTTGTTCGCCCCCAATGTTGCCATTAGAGTTTGACAACACTACATCTGGCAACCATATGTCCTTTGGTAAAACCAAGACCCTTGGGATATTCGGAAATTTACTTTTATCCCATGACAATCCTTCTAGGGTCCACCTGAAGAAGAACGCCCCAGTGGTGGTCAACATTTGTTTCGACTCGTCAAGATCTTCAATATGTAGCAGATTAAAGCTGACAGATACTTCCAGAATAGACTTGGAAATAGTCACCGGCTGATCCATATGATTGTGGGTAGATATATATTCTGACACTAAATCTCTTGGAGTAAGGAAGGTAACATTGCACATAACAACAGGACACATAAGTAAAAAGAACAGTTCTGTTCCCATTCTGGCACAACGCTGTATGACACAGCAGCGTTAACAGCTGTAATGATTCTGACGAGAATCGCAGCATTTAAATCCTAAGTAATGTTTACGGAATAAACAGCAGAAGCCTTGTTTAATTAGTTTAAAGATTAATGCCAGTGAAGAATCAATCTCGAATTTATGCTCATACTCTTTATATTCATAACAAGGTCTATATATAATAGATTATGTTAGATTCCATAATCACACTAAGAGCTTGAATAGATCAACTGAGTAAACATCACATGTCAAACAGAAAGACATTTTCACTTGTGATCAACCATGTCGATTTCATTGTTCTGTTTGTCAAGCAGTAAAATACACTAAACAAAAGATGGGCGTTTGTGTTCCTGGAGTTTGTTGATCGTCGTTGTCATAGGAACCAGTGGTGTGTTTTTTTTATTGATTTTACATACACTGTGCCTAAGTTGAAGGCTATTCCTTACTTGACGATATGTTCACTTTAACCCAAGGGGGAAAATGTTCAGGTTGTGCACAAAGCAAGACGACAAACATGCAGACACACGCATAAACACGCATAGACACACGCACACACACGTTATAATCATTGTTGCATTGTATCGAAATAAAATAAATTGGCAAAACATTGGTATTGCATAACTGAAATTTGTAAGCACAAGATGAGCCCAGATAGGTCATGTGTCAAATGAATGTCTGTTGGTAAAAGGCTACCAAAGCTTACATTCAATATAAAAGGATATTTTCTATTTCAATGTAATTTTAAAGATTAAAGTGACCTGAATTGAATTTGTAACTGCACGCACAATGTCGGAGACAGGGAAGTATGTCATTGTATCAAAGTGCAAGAAATATGAAGTTGATTCAAAGTAAAGTCTTTGAATGACATTTACAAGTGACGCTCATAAATGATATATAGATATCTATTTCCCAGTTTTCATTCATCTGCACAAGGAGTAAGAATATACTCCGAAACGTCACGTTCCTCATTAAACATATATTGACATCCATTTCTATGTGATGATATACTTCATGGATGAAGTAAATATTGTGGGAGACGACTACCTAAGGTGTAAACAGTTACTGAAGTTACGACCACATCAGACTAAGAATGCTCACCATCGCACATCACTATCACGATGTAATAATACTCAGAGGGTAGGTAATATACATGGAGAGTCATATACAGGTATTTGCCCAATTTCTTTGGCTATTTTCCCCATAACTTGAAATGCGTTGTCTTTCTACATTCCTAACGTGTTTCATGAACAACATGATTCGCCAAACATCTTTTGAATATTGTAGTAATCGTACATTTACATTTTTAACTTCTCCTTATTCACATCTATGTAATGATGACTGTCGACAATGTTATGAAAATTGTACTCCTCTCTATATCTTACCAGTCGGCCGATTCGACCTGAGGCGGTTTATTGTAATTTTTTGACATTCTAATTTCAGTTGTCAAAATGTTTAGATTAAAGACATAATTCACAGTAAAACGAACACGCCTTATCATTGTAAGACTGAAGTAATCACCTATCCTAAATCACTCATGTCAAAGGGGCGGTGGGGTAGCCTAGTGGGTAATATTGCTTGAATATTGCTAAAAGCGGCGTAAAATAAAACTCATTCACTCACTCATGTCAAACTGCAATTGCAAAGGAGAATCAAGCTGTCGAAAAAATGAACAACATTAAGAAAACACAAAAGAACAGAAAGTCCATTTTTTTTTGACAATAACAAATCACTGTTCTTGTTCAACCACGTGTGGGACGTCCTCGGCATTTTTGTCAGGCTTCATAGATACATCAGTCAGGTTATTTGTTTCCTCGGGATTATCAGCCCACAAGGCACCAGGTGTGTCATTCTTTGCTCTGGGTGAAAGATGCTTTGTCAGTTGTTTTCCTATTGTCGACTTTGGCAGTGCTGAGGGAAGGTGTAGGACAAAGACTGATGCCACAACAGTCAGAGCCTTGAAGACAAACATGCAGTTCAGATAAACGCTGTAGAGAGCCACGTGGTCGGACACAGAGGGTAAGAAGGAGTTGATGGATGTCAGGTACACTGCATAGGCCAACAACACAGACACACAGAGAGTCATCTTCTCTCCTGACTCCGGGGGCACGTGGAACACCATTAGATTGAGACAGGATAGGATGCAAAGAGGCAAAACGGCAGTAAGAATGTAGAAAGTTCGACGTCGACCAAGGATGAATCCCAACTCCAGGACCTGATACAGACCCTTACCTGGGAAATATTCCTTTACAAACGAACCCCAAACCTCCCACTCTCCATTTTCTTTAAGGTGAGGTCAAAGATATTGGTACATCGTGAAATACGTAGTCTATCTCTGAGGTGAGTGTACTCCATTGTGTCAGCTCTAAGGAACAGCGTTGTTTGTCAAACGGGAATCCTGTGACATCCACAGTGCAAGACGTTGAGCGGCGAACTATGGCGTACCACTCCACAGTTCCATTGTTGCTAATAGTGCATGGTTGACTAAGTTTGGCAACCATATGTCTGTTGGTGAGACTGAGCCTCTTGCGATATTCGGAAATTTACTTTCATCCCATGTCAATCCTTCGAGAGTCCACGTGAAGAAGAACCACCCAGTAGTGGTCAACATTTGTTTTGACTCATCCAGATCTTCAATATGTAGCAGATTTAAGTTGACACACACTTCCAGAATGGACTTGGAAATAGGCGCCGGATGATACAAGGGGTTATGCTTAGATAGATATTCTGACACTAAAACCATTGGAGAAAGGAAGGTAACATTGCACATAACTGTAGTGAACATAAGTAAAAATAGCAGTTCTCTTTCCATTCTGACACAACGCTGTAGGACATGGCAGCGCCAACAGACTGAACATGTAATGGTTCTGACGAGAATCACAGCACTTTGTACAGAGTAAAGTACTGAATAAACAACGAACGCTAGTGGAATTCGCGGTGGCTGAGCGGGTTAGGCGGCCGACTTTGTGTGCTGACGATTTGGTGCCTGACTCAGAGGGTGTGGGTTCGAATCCCGGATGGGGCTCAACCCCCAAAATTGCTAGAATTTGTACTTTACTGAGAAAGTGTTATCCCAAAAATAACATATGTTATGTTTGTTTGGATCGTTTTTTAGTCATGCGAAATGGAAATAGAAAACAAAGCTTTTAAATGTGTGCCAACGTTACCTTAGATTTTATATGTGTAAAACGTCTAGTTCTCATGCTGCACGTATGGTTACAAATTCAGTTTTACGCACTTTGATCTGCAGCAATGCATTGAAATCAAAGAAACCTTTTCTATATTTTTGTAAGTACATATGCCAGACATGTAAAGCTACTTACTGTCATTTTGAAATTGTTCATTACGCTTGGTAGCCCTTTACCAATAGACACTCATTTAATGACACTGATATGAGCCAAGGCTCAGTGTTTTCCTCATTTCATTGTTCGGGGCTGTACACACAGTATTGTTTGCAATTACAACCTAAACATGCCTGCCATTGGTTGAAGTGAACATATCGACAGTATAATCACAGCGGGATAGGTTTCGTTTGCTAACTCAGCTGTCAGTGCGTCCTTGTTTAATATACATCACTGGTCTCTATGACAACCGCGATCACCAATTTGCAGTATGCCTATGTTTTTACCTGTGCTTAGTTGCTTGACGAACAGAATATAATCAAATCGACATGATTGACCATATGTGAAAATTGCGTATCTGTTGAGTAATGTTTTCCAAGTCGAGCCATTCAGGCTTTTATTGTTACGACGGCATCCATTATAGTCTATTTTGTACAAACGCGTGGTGAATACAAAGAATACCAGTAGAACTTCGAGATTGATTCTTCTGTGGCATTAATGTTTTGAACTCATAAACCACGGCGTTCGTTGTTTATTCAATACACTTTACTCTGTACAAAGTGCTGTGATTCTCGTCACACAAAGTCGGCCGCCTAACCCGTTCAGCCACCGCGAATTCCACTAGCGTTCGTTGTTTATTCAGTACTCTTTACTCTGTACAAAGTGCTGTGATTCTCGTCAGAACCATTACATGTTCAGTCTGTTGGCGCTGCCATGTCCTACAGCGTTGTGTCAGAATGGAAAGAGAACTGCTATTTTTACTTATGTTCACTACAGTTATGTGCAATGTTACCTTCCTTTCTCCAATGGATTTAGTGTCAGAATATCTATCTAAGCATAACCCCTTGTATCATCCGGTTCCTTTTTCCAAGTCCATTCTGGAAGTCTCTGTCAACTTTAATCTGCTTTATCTTGAAG